GAATGGCAAGGGACACACTGACAAAGGAGATTAATCAGAACTGGCTTTGACAAGCACTGTGGCAACTGGACAATTAAAACAGACATTGGCGGGGGGAGAAAGAAGAACGAACTGGGGAGGAGGGTGGATAAAACAGTGCAACGATGAATGAATGAAAACCCAAAATCTCTGTAAATGTTCATTAAAACTAATAAAATAAAAAAAAAGAGTTCCTATCTCACCACATCCTTTCCAACATTGATTACTTGCTGTCCTGTTAAGCTTTGCCACTGCTACTGGAGTGAAATGGTATCTCATTGTGATTTTGGTTTGCATGTCTCTTACTGCCTGTGATTTTGAGCATTTCTTCATGTGTCTGTTGGCCGTGTGAATATCTTCCTCTGTGAACAGTCTATATGTCTTTTGCCCATTTTGTAACTGGGTTATCAGTCTTTTTCTTGTGGAAGTCCTGTAAGATTCTGCAAAGTTTTGTTATGAGACCCTTGTCTGGGATGGTATTGCCAAATGGTTCCCCCCACCCCCTGTCAATAGGATTTCTTATCACCCTGTTGGAAAAAGTTGTTTTGTTTTTATTTAAAAAATGTTTTTATTTTATTATTTTTTGTGTGTGTGTACCATCAAATCAGATCTGACTGGTACAGGAGGAGATTGCCCCTCCTTCTCCAGCAGAGCATCTGGTGGATTTGAACCATGTACCTCTGGGATTGCAGTGCAGCTTCTTGCCACTAGGTCACCAGAGCTCTCTAGGAAAAACGTTTTTTATGTGCACAGGGGTTTAATCTTTAGAAGGTCCCATTCATCAGTATTACCCTCTCCTGGTTGTGTATTTCTGGCTGTATTTGTCAGCCTTTTTATACCATGGGCTAAGCATTTTAAACTGGGTCCACATTGTCTCTAATGATCTTTATGGTTTTGGCCTTTAGCCCTAGGTCTCTGATCCACCTTGAGTTGATTTTTGTGTATGGTGAGAGGTGTGCATCATACTTCAGCTTTGCAGGTGGAAACCCAGTTTTTCCAGCACCATTTGTTGAAGAGGTTGTTGTTTCCCCATTTGATAAGTTTTGTTTCCTTGTCAAATATTGGTTGACCATGTAGATGGATTATTTCTGTATTCTCGATTCTGCTCCGTTGGCCTGTGTGTCTGTCACTGTACCAGTACCATGTTGTTTTGGTTATTTAAGCTGTGTAGTAGGTTTTCAGATCAGGGAGTGCTATGCCTTGACTTGCTGTTTATTTTTAAAAATAGTTTTATTAGAGCCAGAACCTCCTGCTCACTGGGGTGTGTCAATGGCTGCTTTCAGCAATAGCTGCAGACGTAAGGATCTGCAATGCAGATCACATGAATCACAAAAGCCAAGAAGATTTACTCCCTAATTCTTTATAAAAAGAGTCTGTAGACTTCTGCTTGATGATCTTGGTGTATGACATTTCATTTGTACACATAAACCCCACAATACTGTTACTGTTTTGCTTTAAGCAGCCAATTATCTTTAAAGATATTTTCTAAAGTAAGAAAAAGGCTTTTCCACTTACTAACATGCTTTCCATCTAGACTGAGCAGTGGCACTCTGATGGCACAGTCTGTAGGGGGTTAGTCGGTTAACCTGAAGACTGCATGTCTCCAGCAGTTTGAATCCACCAGGAGGCGAAGGATGCAGTCTCCTCCCATTATGATTTACAGAGTCACTGCACCAAAAAGAAGTGGCTGACACAGATAAATATGATCAAGATACAATGATGATGAAGGAGAAGTTCTCTGAAGGACTTGGCAAAACATAAAGCCCCAGGAATTGATGGAATATCAGCTGACATACTTCAACAAACAGATGCTGCCCTGGATGTGCTCACTAGTTTGTGCCAAGGAGAAGGACTACCTGGTCAAATAACTGAAAGAGATCCATATTTATTCCCATTCCAAAAAAAGGTGACCCAACACAGTGTAGAAATTATCAAACAATATCACTCATATCACATGCAAGCAAAATCCTGTTAAAGATTATCCAGAAATGACTGGAACAGTACATTGACAGAGAACTACCAGAAATACAAGCTGGGTTTAGAAGAAGTCATGGCATTAGAGACATCATTAGTGTCAGATGGATCTTGGCAGAAAGCAAAGAGTACCAGCGGAATATCTGTGTTTTATTGACTATGCAAAGGCATTTGATTGTGGATCACAACATATTGTGGCTAACCTTGAGAATAATGGGAATCTCAGAACACCTGATTGTGCGGATGTAAAACTTATACTTGAACAAGGAAGCAATTGTCTGAACAGAGCAAAGAAACACTGCATGGTTCAAAATCAGGAAAGGAGTGCATCAGGGATGCATCCTGTCTCCATATATTTTCAATCTATACACATATATTTTCAATCTATACACAGAACAGATAATTCAGGAGGCTGGGCTTTATGAGGAGGATGTGGCTTCAAGACTGGAGGAAGACTCACCAACAACCTATGTTATGCAGAGGACACAAACTTGCTTGCTGAAACTGAGGAGGACCAGAATCCCTTGCTGCAGAAGGTCAAGGACTGTGGTCTTCAATATGGATTGAAGCTCAACATCAAAGAGACAAAGATTCTCACTATTGGGCCAACTGGCAGCACCATGATAGATGGAGAAGAGATTGAGGTTATTAACAATCACAGCTCGCTCAGCTCCACAATCAACACTCTTGGCACCAGCAATCAGGAAATCAAAAGAATTACATTAAGTAAATCTGCTGTCAGAGACCTCTCCAGAGTACTGAGAAGCAACAATGTCAGTCTAGAGACTAAGGTGCACCTGATCCAGGCCATGGTCTTTGCCTTTACTTTCTAGGCATCAGAGACCTGGACAATGACTAAGGATGACAGAAGAAGAATTGATGCCTTTGAGTTGTGGTGCTGGAGAAGAGCCTTAAACATACCATGGACCACCAAGAAAACAAATAGGTCTGTCTTGGAGAGAGTGAAACCAAGTTTCTCCTTGGAGCCTAGATTTTGCTAAAGAGCAACAGTGTCAGTCTGGAGACTGAGGTGTGGCTGGCCCAGGCCATGGTCTTTATGATTATGTGTGTGCTACCCATCAGAAAACTGGGCAATGACTAGGGATGGTAGAAAGAGAATTGATGTCTTTGAGCTGTGGAGCTGGAGAAGAATATTTAATATACCATGGACTGCTAGAACAAACAGGCACATCCAGGAGAGGGTGAAGCTAGGATGCTCCTTAGAAGGAAAGATTCTGAGGCTCCATCTGACAAACTTTGGGCATGTTGCAAGGAGGGACGAGTCCTTGGAGAGGGACATCCTGCTTGGGAGGGTGGAGGGACAGCATAGGAGAGGAAGATCTTCAATGAGATGGATTGATTCAGTGACTGGGGTAATAGTGGTAGATGTGCTCAAGTTAGTGAGATTGGCTCAGGACAGAGCAGGGTTCATAGCTGTTGAAAATAGGGTCACTCTGAGTGGCAGATGACTCAATGGCCCATAACAACCACCACCACCTCAGCAGAGGGAAACTCTGAATCAGAACAGTCCCAGCTATGAAGTTCCATTTCAACTGTCCTTCCTGCTTGTGGGTAAATCTGGATTTTCATCAGGTGCCAGTTTTTTTATGCACATAGTACCTGCTGTAACCCTTTTTGTACCATGGGCATAATGCTGATGGCTTTGCTCAGCTCCTTCATATTTGAGAGTCAATTTACTGGTGATGTTCCAGATTAGTGGTGAGTATCTCATTCCCTCTTCTGTGGCCTGCAGTGTTCACGATGAGGAATCCATGGTTCCGTTTCTCTGCAGGCAATATCTCTGGAGGCTTCCAGGATCGTCTCTTCCTCACTGGTTCTCAGGAACTTGGTTGTCAGGCACTCATTACGTGTTCACAGCATAGGCTGCTTTCAGTTTCATCAAATTTGGAGGCCATGGTGTCTTGGTAAGTTTTGAGATGCGAAGTCAGTCCAAATGGCTTGCCTTAGCTCTGGTGGCCTGGTGGCAAGAAGCTGCACTGCAATCCCTGAGGTGCACGGTTCAAATCTACCAGATGCTCTGCTGAAGAAGGAGGGACAATCTCCTCCTGTACCAGTCAGATTTGATTTGACAGTACACACAAATGGCTTGCCTTGAACACCTCCCGGTCCATACTGGGTGGATGCAGGAGGCTCCATTCAGGCACTGGCCAGTACTGTGGCCATCTACACCCGGGGGCCTGTGGGTGCAGGCCTCAGGCAGGGGCGATGGCCTGTCTGCACACCAGGGGTGGTGAGCTCAGCCACCCTTCCCATCCCAGGCCACCCTAAAGCTGGGCAGGGGGCAGCAAAGGGCAGACTGGCCCTATGGTGTTTCTCCTGCATGCAAGTGGCCTGAAGTAGGAGAGAAGGGCTGCAGAGCCAAGAATCACCACAGCTGGGAGAGGGGAGTCTGCCACCCAGAGGCTGCACATAGAGACCAAGGCCCAGAGAGAGGAGGAACTGGCGAGTGTGCACAGCTGACCGCTGGAAGAGCTGGAGTGCTGCTGGCTCTGGTTCCTGTCAGCCTGCAGCCAGGGACTCAGGGCAAAACAGGCACAGGCTCTCCTGCCCCGCTCCAGCCTCTGCTCCAGGGACAGACATGGGCTCAGCCACAAAGTGTTCTGGGTTTAGGGCTGCTTACCTGTCTCACAGCGAGGCCCAGAGAAGCTCTCCGCACACACACAGGTGAAGTGCCCCACCAGGTCAACGCAGGAGCCTCCATTCAGGCAAGGGCCTGAGTCGCAGTCGTCCACATCTGGGGGCCAGCAAGGGTGTGAGATGGCCACCCGTGCGGGGTCCCTTCCAGCAACCACTCCCCTGCCACTGCCCCGCCAAGTGCCCTCACCTGTTTCACAAGCTGCGCCTGTGTACCCCTCCTGGCACACGCACACGGCTGTGCTGCCCTCCAGCTCACACTGGCCACCATTCTCACACACTTTGCCATCACAGGGGTTCTGCTCTGCAAGGCAGTGAAGAGCACTGTTAAACTGGGGTGGGATGTGCCGTGGGGGCGGTGGCAGCTCAGGGTCCACGCCTTCCACGTGGGAGCTGGCTCTGTTCCTCACACACAGCCTCTGCCCGCTGCGTGGAGCCGGGAGGTTCAGAAGCACTTCGAGGCCCAGGCTTGAGAGCCCTGGCTGTCAGCCCCCAACCTGGCCCTGGTGCAGGACCGGGCCACTGTTTGTTCTGTTTTGTGTGTCAGGCCCTTGGAGCCCGTTAGATTGCTTCTCACCAAGATGACCTTCTGAAGGTAGTGGGTGAACACATTGTAGCTCATCCTGTCAGCTGACTATTAATGTATGATAAAAAGAGAAGGGCAGTCCTTCTCACAGAGAAACCACAAGTGCTTAATTTATGAAAGAAGCCAGGCCCTAAAGCTCTGCACGGTGTGAGCTTGACTCTGGGCGATTCTGGAAGAGGTGACATTGTTGCCATTGAGCTCAGAGGTGTGGTTGTTGGGGCAGGAGTGCCAGGGATCGGCAAGGGGGCTCAGGGTGTGTGTGTGACTGTTCTGTACAGTAATGACCTGACAGACTGTCAGGATCCACAGCACAGCCCTCCATCATCTCAGTAAATGCTGTGCTTTTGTTGGTAACAATGTATCCATGCTGGATCTCAAATGCTAACAGTGGCCCACAGGCAAGCAAGGTGTCAGGAGGGAGAGCCGCTGTGCACAGGCTGTGTGAGAAGGCTTTATTTTCTGCAAACCTAAAGCTGCTATGAAAATGTGGCTAATTCCCCGCCACCCAAGATTAACCTTAAAAGCAAGCAAGCAAAACCCACAGAAAACAAGTCCTCTGCCAGATGGAAATTCTTTTCTGTTCTTTTTCCACTTTGAAAGAAGCATTTTCATCTAATCATAAATTGGAATTTTATCTACTCTTGTGTGAGAAAACCTTTTAATGACAGCCTATCACATTTCTTTGCAAGAAAACCCCATGTACATAAAACAAAAACAAGTTTTCGAACCAAGGGACTTCTCTCTATGGCTAGGCATTACAAAATAGGTCCTCAGGCCAGGCTCCATGTGGGACCCTGGCCCTGGCTCTGACCCTGGTCCTGGCTCTGACTCTCTCCTTGTCTCTGGCTCTGACCTTAAACCTAGAGCTGATTTGCTTGTTGGCCCTCTTCCTTGACCCTGGCCCTGACCTTCACACTCTCCTTGACCTTCATGCTGGCTATGACCCTAACACTGGCCCTGACTTTGTCTCCAACCCTGGCCAAATCCAGTTGTTCCCAGGAGAGCTGTGTTTTTATGGTCAGCCTCATGCCCACTGAGCACGCTCATATTTTAGAATCTGGTCTCTCACCAGCCACAGGCCTCTCTGGGGCTTCTAACTTCTGGTTCTGGAACCGCTAAGACCTGCCATTCGGTCCAAAGTTCCCTGGTGAAGAGGGACTTGGCCCAGGCCTCACCTTCCCTAGCTATGCATCTCAGCTGGCCTCCAGCAGGAAGGACCCAAGGGCCTAGGTGTTTGTTTACCTGTTTCACAGGTGGGGCCTCTAAAGCCGGCTGGGCACTGGCAGCTGAAGCTGTTGACCATGTGCGTGCAGGTCCCACCGTTCTTACATGGATGGGAGGCACACTCATCCACATCTGGAAAGTGAGGTGCAGAGCCTCAGATAGGGCAACAGTGTGGGTGGGCCTCTATCTCAGCCAGAAGGAGTGGGGCGGCAGCAAGCCTGTTCTGGAGACCCCTGGGTGTTCCCCTCCATACTTATCACTATAGCCATTTGGCAGTCCCACCCAGCTGAGACCCCTTTCCACGCCTGCTGTGGGGCCCCCAGCCCACCTACCCACTCACCCAGCTGGCAGTGCCGCCCAGTGAAGCCTGAGAGGCAGGAGCAACTGTAGGATGGGGCTCTGGGGACGCAGTCATCAATGCAGGTGCCACCATTGAGGCAGGGGTACAGGGTCAGGCACACAGAGGCTGCGGACACAGGGCAGGCGTCACAGCAACCGAGATCCTGAGAACTGACCTCTGGGGTCCAAGCGCCAGGGCTGGGCAGGGTCGCCATGTCCACACCTGTGGGAAGCCTTGCACCCGGAAGTCCTGTGGCCCTGCCTTTTGGGGGCTTTGATTCTGCTGCTATGAAGGACGGACCCTGCTACCACATCACTTCAAAACCTGCTCCCCAAACAGAACAAATCCTTTGCTCAGACTGATTTTGACTGGACGGTGCCCTGAGGTGTCCATGGCTGGGATGGTTATGCCAGGAGCTGGTGGCAGTTAGCATGTGGTGTGCTCCTGACAAGATTCCTCGGCAGCCAGTGGAGGGCAGTCCTGCCCGAGTCCACCATGGCTGAGGGCGGGCTCGGTTCTTGCTCCAGGAATGTGGCTAGAGACAGTGGCACGACTCACCTCCCCACAGCCTCCTCAGCCCTTCAACCCCAAACAGATCACAGATCAGAAGATGTTACTGTGGGGTCAGAAATACTCTGGAAAAGGTGTCCCGGTGAACAGAGGACCAGGCCTCTGGGATGGGCACCTGCAGTCCTGGTTCTGTGGAGGAGGCAGCCTGCCCGCAGGCCTTAGTCTGCCCTGTACCAGGCAGTGAGTGGAGGCCTAGACTGCAGTCAGTAGCAGAGTCCATCATTCCACATCCCCTGCCTTTTATAAGGGTGTCTGCTGCCAATCAAGAGGTCAATGGTTTGAATCCAGCAGCAGAGACTGACAGCCTTGGAAAACAATGGAGGGTCACCATGAGTCCTTGGCAGTAGGTGGAGATGGAGTTGGGTGTGTGTAATGACCAGAGAGGTTCCCCACCTGCCCAAGGTGGCACAGCAGGGTGCCATGTCCAGGTTGTTCCCACGTGTCACAGACTTGCCGTGGGGGTAAGCCGTCATCACTGGATGTGCTCTGGGGAGCCCTCCTCACTGGGTGTGTGTTCTGGGGGGCCCTCCTCACTGGGTATATTTTCTGGGGGGCCCTTCTCACTGGGTGTGTGCTCTGGGGAGCCCTCCTCACTGTGTGTGCTCCGGGGAGCCCTCCTCACTGTGTGTGTGTTCTGGGGAGCCCTCCTCACTGGGTGTGTTCCGGGGAGCCCTCCTCACTGGGTGTGCTCCGGGGAGCCCTCCTCACTGGGTGTGTTCTGGGGAGCCCTTCTCACTGGGTGTGCACTCTAAGTTGGGGGGAGTCTCCCTCCTACAAGTGAGAAGTTCCAGAAACAATAAACTTCAACTGTTGAAAGGCCTGCAGTGGCAACGAGAAAGGCTGCTTCGGGCGTCATGCAAACCTGAGGAGGTGGACGTGTCCTTCCCCCAGTCCAGGTGCAGTCCCCTAAGGCATGACCCACCTGACTTGTTCAAGAGCTGAAAGGACCCTGGGGCTCAGCGGGTAAACTGAGGTTCAGGCTTGTGGGTCCCCCTCCTCCCATTCCCAGTGTCCCACTGCTTCCCGGGCTCCACCCTGGCATCCAGCCTGTCCTGGTGTCCCATCACACTTTGCCCCTCCGCTAGCCCCCAGGAGGCCCACGCCTGAACCGCTGGTCCTCTTACTTGTATGGCCGCAGCCCCCCACGCGCACCTGGGCATCATCGATTCTGAACGCCCAGCGCCCGGGCACGCCCACGTTGGTGGTGGTCTCTACTTCAGCCATGTCCACAGTGCGTGAGCCGGGGATGCTGAAGTAACGTTGCCCATCGCCTGCATTGAAGCCAGCCTGGGGGGATGGGGTCAGGGCCGGGCTGGGTCCACTGCCCCCTGGGAGCTCCCAACACCCCTCCTGAGAAGGTCAAGGCCAGTGCCCCTGCGTCTGTCTTCAAGGAGCTCATTAGGGAACACTGGTCATGAGAGTTTGCTCAGGGGCATCTCCCAGGACCTTGGATTTAGAGGTAAGAGAGAGTGTGGCCCCCACTGAGGACTCTAAGAGGAGGAGGGGCTGTGTAAAGCCCACCCCCAATACTACCAACTCTGAGAGAAGGGTCCTCACCCCTGTGTGGAAGGGATCCCACCATGTGTAGAGTGAGGGGACCCCGCAGTGTGTGGAGTGAGGGAAGCTGCCATGTGTGAAGCGGACATCACTGTGTGCGGAGTGGGAGGACCCTGCTGTGTGTGAAGGAGGGAACTCCGCTGTGTGGAAGGGACCCTGCTATGTGGAGTGAGGGACCCTGTCGTGTGTGGAGGGGTCCTTGTGTATGGAGGGGACCCCACTGTATGTGCAGTGAGGGGACCCCACTGTGTGTGGGATGAGGGGACCCCACTGTGTGTGCAGTGAAGGACTCTGTCTTGTGTGGAGGGGTCCTTGTGTATGGAAGGGACCCCACTGTGTGTGTGTGAGGTGAGGGGGTTCCTGTGGTGTGTGGAGGGGGTCCTTGTGTATGGAGGTGACCCCGCTGTGTGTGGAGAGGACCCCATTGTGTGTGTGGAGAGGGGTCCTTGTGTATGGAAGACACCCTACTGTGTGTGCAGTGAGGGACCCTGTCGTGTGTGGAGGGGTCCTTGTGTATGGAGGGGACCCCGCTGTGTGTGGAGGGGCCCTGCATGTGGGCAGCAATGGGCATAGCCACGTGGAGTGGACAGAGGGACACATTTGCCCACTGTTCACCCTGACCTGGAGCCAGCGGGCACACTGGGCCCGTGAGGTCTGCCCTGCGACCACTCCTGGGATTTCCTGCCCACAGGGAGGCCAGCACAATCCATGCACACACCTCCTGCTCCTGAGGAAATGGAACCGAGGGGGTGTCTATCCTGGAGTGGGGTCAGGGCTGTGGTCCCCAGACAGCGTGGCCTTGGTCTGCATGTGCATGCTGGAGCCTGGCTCAGGCGAGGTCTCCTTTCTCCCCCACCCCGCCAAGCACCAGCCCCGTAACCTACCTGGGCTGCAATGCCCCCCAGGCCCACGGTGTCCCCTCCACTGCTGGCGTGTGTGCCCGTGGTCCATGTGATGGACTCATAGTTGAAGATGGTGAAGGAGAACTTGCCGTCTGTGATAAGGACAATCTGGAACGTGTTCACCTGCAAGGATAGGGCCACTGGAGTCCTGCTCTCCACCCACCAAGCCGGCCACCCCCCCCCCCCCCACTGTCAGTCATCCAGGAGAGGGACCTGGACAGCCTTGGCTTCTGTGTGACACTTCAAGTGCTGTCACTTGTGTCCCCACCCTGACCACTGCCTGGGAGGCCGTGTGGGGTATACCGGGGGGCCTTTGAGCATTGAGCACCCCACAGTGACTGCTGCCTGGGAGGCTGTGGGGGGTGTGCCGGGGGGCCGTTGAGCATTGAGCACCCCACACTGACCACTGCCTGGGAGGCAGTGAGCACATGGTGAGGGAGCATTGTCACTGCCACAAGGGGCTCCTGGAGGGTGTCCATGGGAGTGCTCCCTCTGCCAAACCCACTGGACACAAACACGATGAGGTATGAGAGGAAACAGCGATTGAGTATCAGTCTTCCTGTGGAATTCTCTGCAGCTTTAACCCGAGGGCTGCCAAGTGGCTGTGACCCTGAGACTGGCCGCACCGCCCACACCAAGACGTGGAGAAAGGCTCTTTACATGGATGGAATCAAATGGACTTGTGGACACCTTGACCCCCAGGTCACCCTCCAGTGGGTTTTCAGTGTCAGTAAATCGCACGAGAGAAGTTTGCCTGTCCTTCTCCTGGGAACAGCTGGGGGATTTGAACCGTGTACATTTTGGGTTGGCAGCACATCTCCTAGTACACCATAGTTCCCTAGCCTTGAACACAGAACAGAGGGAATGAAATGAAAAATGACAGCATGGTGGAGCTGATGTCAGAGGGTGGCCTGAGAGAACATGAAATCCAGCGGTGAGACGTGCACAGGTCCAGAGCCAGAGAGCCCAGACGGAGGGGCACACTCAGCATTTCTCAAGGCAAAGAAAGAGAATGGAAGAGAATAATCCAAGCTTCAGACTTCAATTCTGAAGGATTCTGAGGGCAAGACATGGAACAACATGGGGACCCTCAGAAACGGAGGCACAGGGATGACTGCGGCACCGAGAGCCCCACGGCCCAGCCGTTCAGCGGGAGCCTGGGTTCCAGAACTTGTGGGCCGAAGGGAGATGGGCAGTGGCTCTGACGGTGACAAGGGCCCTGTGCTGGGATGAGCTGTCCATCTCAGAGTCTAAGAAGGAAGCCGGGGCCACCATGCCAGGTTAGGCTGCGGCCAGTGTGAGTGGTGCTGGTGTCCATGTTCAAATGAACAGCAGGGAGGCTGAGTGTTCCTGACCAGGGACACGATGGAGACAAGCGTGATGACCACATAGCTCGAGCTGCGTGAAGTGACCAGGAAGGGGCAGAGGTGACAGCCATGTGATGAAGTGGGGTCACGTGAGGGGGCAAGGGGACCTATGACCACCAAAGGTCACAGAATTTGGGGTACAGTGTAGCGTGCACAGTCAGCAGAGTACTGTGGACTCTGGGGATGTGGGGCTCCTGCCATCGGCTTGGCGTGGTTTCTGGTCATCACAGAGCCTGACTTGTCCGCATGTGTGTGTCCGGGGACATGCCTTTCTGCACCCAGGACGTCTTAAATAACAAAAGGTGTCGGAAAGAAGGTGTTACCTCACAGAGGAACGTGGGGCAGGACTGAGGGACTCGCCAGTGGAGATGTAGCCCCTTGGATGAGCTGTACCACCACTACAGGGTCCGCTAGTGAGATCCAGGCCATCTATGCCCCGAGCACCGTGCGGAGGGCCGGCTAGCCCTCTCCAGTGCCCAGCCGTGACTCTGATGGTGCGGAGGGGGCACTGCTGCCTCTCCAGGGGACACTGGGCACCATACATAAAGCCAGGTGAGATGTGTTTCTGTTGCTTGGAATGGTCAAAGGATGCGTGTGAGCAGCTGCCCCGGCTGGATGGAGCTGTGTCCCACAATTGTGTGGCTGGAGTTGGAAATGATTTTCTGTTAGTGAGGACACAGACTTGGGTGGGTTCTGAACTAAGCCCTGTGGGAAGAGGTACGGAGTTCACAAGAAGCAGCTGAGGATGTCGGCAGCCACAGACAAGGAGGGCCCTTCCCCAGAGCCAGTGCCCGGTGTGCAGGTCTGGGCTCCAGAGATTCCCTGAAGCCGCCCACTGGCAGGATCTGTGATACGGCGGAACCAGGGGGTGAGGACACCGTCCCTCCCCACCGTCACTGTGCCCCAGCACGCACACTGCTGGCCAGGGCAGCTCAAGGCTCTTCCCTGGGGGGAATACTTCACACTTGGGTTTCTCCTCTTGACTGCTGGCTTGGCCAGGCCCAGGCCTTGGTGTAGGAAGTCCCCCTTGGCTGGCCTCCCTCCCTCGCCAGGACAGCGCACTCACGGGGGAGGAGGAACTGCCTCCAAAAAAGGTCACACGGTGCCAGGTGGCGATGAAGGCCCAGGTGGCGGAGAAGTCCGGGAGCTCAGGGAAGTAGCGCCTGACATCCCCTGTGGCTCTGCGGAGCATGGTGGGGTCGGTGGTCTCCCGGTAGAACACGTCCCCTGCACGCCGGTTGTCCACGTCGGCCCAGAAGGCAGCCACCACACAGCGGTCCTTGGCGATGGGAAAGGCCACCGGTGTGAACTGGGAGACCTCCCTCAGGAAGGAGATAATCCCATTGTTGTTCACCTGCCGAGGGGAGAGAGAGGGGTGGGGTGCCGGTCAGTGGGGAGGCTGTGAGCTGGTGGCCTCAGGCCATAGCCCCAGGATGGACTGACCCAAGGACGGACTGACGGCCCAAACCCTGAAACAGGCAGATTGACTATGTTCCATTCCCTTCTGGACAGGTCATAGATCAGGGCACAAGAAAGCCACTTGTTTTCTGCACCCCAATACCCGGAGGGGTGCTTTGTCTTGTCCAGCTGCGGATCTTGCCCATGTAGGGCACCTGACTCCTGGGAACAGCCCCAGCCCTTTCTCCCTCAGCCTTGAAGACAGGCAGACCCAGAATTGGGGCTGGTACTGAAGGGGGAGCAGATATGAGCAGCAGCAAAGGAGGGGGGCCCAGCACAGCTGAGAACAGAGGAAGCCTGAATGCCAAGCGAGGGGTCTGTTCTCAGTCCTCAGTCAGTGGGGAGCTTCTGAGCTCTCAGAGATGGACAGCAACTTTGGGCTTAGGTATTAGAATCAGGCCCCTGGCTCTGGCCAGCAGGCAGTGGATGAGGCCTGGGCACAGGTCACCTGGTGCTGTCCAGCAGGTAGTGGACCAGGCCCTGGGCACTGGCTGCCTGGCTCTGGCCAGTAGGTCTGGCAGGTGCTGACCCAGCTGCTCCTGCTACTCAGGTCAGTGGAAGAGCAAAGCTGGGTTCCCTGCACTTCCTGTTCTCGCCCTCTGACTTCACTCTTAGCTGCTTCCTCTCAGCCACCATTTCTCTGGCTCCACCAGGAGCAGCAGCAGAATCGGTATAACAAGGAAAACCATAAACACGCTTCCACGTCCACGTGATTCTAAAATTGTGCCTGCACAACCTCCAAATGACATAAGGTCCTGTTCACATGGACCGGAAGTGAGTGAGCCTGCACCTAAGTTATTCTTGTCAGGTGCCACTGAGCTGGCTGAAGCCCACACAGAGAACCTCTGGACAAGAGGCCACAGCCTTGTCCAGTTCTGGTCATGGTCAGACTCCACTGGGCTTAAACCTGGTGTTACAGTTGTGCTGTCAACTTGTCTCCTTGGGCCTCCTCCTCTTTCACTCACCCACTGATTTTTCAAGCATGAGGTCCTTCTCCGGGGACTGACCCCTCCTGATAGCGTGCCCAAAGGGTGAGAGAGGAAGTATATAAATCAGGAGTGGGCAAACCATGAGCAAGTGTGCCCTGGAGGTCAAAGTGGTACTTTTAAATTAATTAATCCAGGGAAAAATTGCAAGTCTAAGGGAATCAGGAAAGAATAGAAATGGTATCCAAGATGGTTACACTTGACAAAACCAAGGCCTGGGACAAGTGCACCTTGGTCTTTACACCGACTGCCTTAGTGAGGCCTCTGCAGAGGTCTTAGCTGCTTTCTCCCCGTGCAATCGTTTCTTGATTGCTGCTTCCTCGGATGTTGATTGTGGAGTGAGAAGAGATGTGCATCAGGCAGTTTCCTTTCTCCAGCTATTCAGTCTGGATGCTGAGTAATTTACTGAAGAAGTTGAACTCTGAAGAAGAGCGTGACATCAGGATTGGAGGAAGACTCATCAATAACCCATGTTATGCAGATGACACAATTTTGCTTGTAGAAAGTGGAGAAGACTTGAAGCACTTACTGCAGGAGATCAAAGACTACAGCCTTCAATATGGATCACGTCCAGACATCAAGAAGGAAGAACCCCTAACCAGTGGACCGACAGGCGACATCATGGTGGATGGATGGAGAGAATCAATGATATTAAAAGTTACAAAAAAGGCAGCTATCTAGAGGAGACCCCTTCTAGCTGCAGCTCAACACACATTCTTCTCCACAGGGGACACGCTCTAGACCATACGCTGGGTCACAAACACAAGTCTGAATGAGTTTAAGAACACTGAAATGATACAAAATATCTTCTCTGACTGGAATGGAATAAAATGAAAATCAATAACAGAAGGAAAATGAACAAATATGTGGGAGTCAGCCATGGGTCAGTTCTGTCTTGATGGCAAATACAAACACAAGGGGGAAGGAAGCGAGTGTGCCTGTGGCCTGCACACCCAAAGCCACCCAGACACCTAAAGCTTCTGCCCTCCTGCAGATGGTCACTGCCTAGGACAAAGGACAGCAGAGCTGGCCACCTGAACCCTTCCCAGCCTCACAGCGCCCCTTGTGGCACAGGGCCCACTTCACCTCAACTCTCAGAGGGTCACCTCACACCTAGCAGACAGCAGGCCTGGACGGTCCAGCAGAAATGGTGTCTCCGAGGGCACTGAGAGTCTTGTATGACAGCATGGGAGCTTCCCTAGGGAACTAGCACCCATGCTAGTGAGCTGCCTGCTGGGCCCTGGCCTCACAGAGTCCAGGAGACAGACTCACAGAACCTGGACACACAGAGTCCCTGAGTAATGCACAGGGTGGACACTGGGTGGCGGCAGAAGGTCACCCCACACAGCCAGGAGCACGGAGCTGCTGCCCTCAGGGACCGTGCTCAGAACAGGTGTCATGTGCTGACTTTTGGGTTGTTACTAACATTGTTATTAGGGGCTGTCACGTTGCTGATGACTCACTGTGACCCGATGAGCAACAGACCTGAACTACCGGCCTTATCCTGAGCCATCCTCATCATCCCTGAAGTGCCCGAGCTCACGGTTTCAATCATCATGTCAATCTATCTCACAGGAGCCTTCCTCCCTCACTAACCCTCTGCCTCGCAAATGGTCCCATTCAAACCAAAATGACTCATGCTGATTCAGACTCATGGTGATCTACTGGAGAGCAGGCAGCCTTTCAGGCTTTCCCGGCTGCCAGTGGTCCTGAAGGGGCAGACACAGCTCGGGCTCAAGTGTTACTGAAGGGAGTGAGGCAGTTTTTCTCCTGTGGGGTCACTGATGGTGTATCCAGAGCTTAATCCACCACACCACCATGGAGGGCCAACTGTTTCAATGCAGGATCACTGGAGATATTTTTGTGAATTATTTATTATCTCTGTTGCATATTTGTCACTGTTCTTCTTAGAGCTCGGGTGGCGCAGTGTAAAGTTTTGGGGTACAAACTGAAAGGTCAGCTGTTCAAATCCACCAGCTGCTCCAATAGATAGGCAGTCGAGTCTCCTCAAGATTTACAGCCTCAGAAATGTGATGGGGGGCTAGGGGTCCTCTAAGTCAGATGCAATTCAGCGCAGTGGGCTCAGTTTTGGTTAGAAACGCAAAAGCCATTCTTAGCCCAGTCATCCAAAAATAGGCTGGGCTTGGCCCAGGGCTGTGTCTTGCTGACCTCAGTCTGTTCTGTCAATAACGTTTTATTGGTGCCCGGCTGTGCCCATTCATTCATATATTGCTGAGCTGACCACATGGCTCATAAAACCTGAATGCAGTCACCACTTGACCCTTCACAGAACTCTGGCCATCTGGTCTCCCACCTGGAGGCCTATAGCCCAGGGACCTCAAGTGTGGGAATGGGCACAATTGAGGACAGGCCTCCTCTGGGTTGCCCTCTGCTGAGACCACGGGTGCCAGGCTGCTCTGCATGGCCCAGGCCACTGCCCCTCGAGGGGTGTTCACAGCCCCTCACAGACTCAGAAAGGAGCCTCCGGGCTGAGGCTTGGCTCATGCCACTCTGTCTGCTACGAAGGACTTTCCTCAACCGACACAAAAACAACAGGAAGCAAACTTTTAAAATATCCTGTTGTGTTATGTGCCATCGAGTCACCTGTGGCTTGAAGCAACCCTGTCCTGTCCTGAGCCAGCCTCATCGTCTCTGACAGACCTAATCTCATTTCTCCAGTCACAGAGTCACTCCATTTCATCCTGGGTCTTCCTCTCTTGTTCTGTCCCTCCACCTTCTGAGCATGATGTCCTTCTCCAAGAACTGGTCCCTCTTGGCCATGTGCCCAAAGTATGTGAGATTGAGCCTCAAAGTCCTTGTCTTCAGGGAGCAGCCCAGGTTCACCTTCTTCAGGACAGACCTGTTTGTTCTCCTGGCTGTCCATGGTATGTTCGGCACTCTTCTCCAGCACCACAGCTCAAAGGCATAAATTCTTCTTCTGTCATACTTAGTCATTGTCCAGCTCTCTGACACATAGCAAGCAATTGTGAAGACCATGGCTTGAATCAGGCACACCTTAGTCTTTTCAGTACTCTAGACCGGTCCCTGAGTGTAGATATCCCGAATGCAATTAATCTTTTGATTTCCTGACTTCTGGTGCCAAGAGTGTTGATTGTGGAGCCGAGCAAGCTGTAATTGTTAACAACCTCAATCTCTACCTATCATGGTGCTGCCAGTTGGCTCAGTGGTGAGAATCTTTGTCTTCTTGATGTTGAGATTCAATCCATGTTGAAGACCACAGTCCTTGACCTTCTGCAGCAAATGCCTCATGTCCTCTTCAGTTTCAGCAAGCAAGGTTGTGTCATCTAAATAATGCAGGCTGTTGCTGAAGAAACACTCTGTAATAGGTAGAAACGAAAAGTTTTTAAAAATAATCTTTTAGAAGAAAAATGTGCCGTCTTAGTCAAGAAGGACAATCGTGAGCCCTCCCTGTTAAGCTGCAGATGAGTTAGTGTAAACATTTCAGTGCAGAAGAGATGGGCGGACCTCTCTGTAATGAGCCCCCACCGAAAACACTGACTGTTGTCATCAAGCCTTGTCCAGTGAGAGGGCAGAGAATGGCCGCGGGGTTTCCAGGGTAGGAATCTTGCTGGAAGTGATTATCCTACTGTCCCTTGAAGCCACTGGTGGGTTCAAACTGTTGACTTTTTTTGTTACATGCTCTAACCCCAGCACCTCCAGAGTTGTCTGAAAACTTTAAAAACCCAATCAGATACAGTGTCTTCAGGTCAATGTGGGCTCACAAGAGCCCCCCCTCCAGCCTTGGAGGCTGCAGACCCGAATGGGGCAGTACCTTCCTCACTCCTTCACCAGCTGCCAACCTCATGGTTAACAGCCCAGCGCGTGACACGCTACGCCATCAGGGCTCCTTAAATCATTAACGGCGACTCAGATGAATCAAGGGAGCTCT